GGTTTTCTTTATGCCGTCGTCTGATCAATTAGCTGGACTTTAATAGGTTCTGCTAAGTGATTATGTCTCGAGTAAAGTGTTAACACATTTCTGTCTGAATTTCTAAAATGATTGGACCAAACCAAGCCTCATGCTGTCCTCATGGTAGGTAGGTCTATACCTGGCTGAGACATGTTTTTCATTAGTTATTTTGTTCCAGGTCTCCAGGACTGGGATTCATGTGCAGGGGACCTGTAATATGACATCCTGGCTAGATCTAGCATTTCCTCTCCTTCCTATTCTTCCTAAATCTGTTCTCCTCTCACATGAAGGGGGACAGGAGGCCCCTTGGATCAGCCTCCCACTGTGTGTGTGCTGAGGGAAAGGGACTCCTGCTGTCTCGGGGGGCACACACACACACACACAAGAGAGGATGACGACATTGCCCACACATAACCCTGTTTGCACAAAGCAGAAAACAGTCCAGCACAAACACACAGCGGAGGTGACTTGAGAGGAGATTGTGTCAAAACAGTTACGATAGCACATAGACTGGTCCCTGTGATAGCCATCTCTGGGAGGTGACGTCTTGCATATGAAACTCCTTTAGGGACTATAGGCAGGGGCACATCCAGGGGTTGAACACAGTTTGTGTTTGCCTAACCAGTAAACTGATAAACACATTTATTCAATGAAAGCCCGAAGGGTTTAGTAAGAGATGTAGAGGTCTTTATTTTCAGACGTACAGATATCAATCAGAGATTAATTATAGAGTAAATGCTTGAACAAGTAGACAAACTTGACATGGGAGATTGTTTGTTATATTGTCCTTGTTCTGCAGTAGGCTACAGCACAGTTTATATTCTATCAATGCATCATTTCCAATCCCCCATATATGTTTAAATAAATAAATAATATATATATATATATATATATATATATATATTATTTTAAATATATAGATTTGTTTTATAGATTTTCCTTCTTTATTCTTTTCCCCTAACCCTGCCACCCCTCCCCTAATTGGAGTAAACTAATGGACAGCAATACTTAGGCTTCTACTTCCAGCTTATACATACTATGTACATTTCACAGACAGTATATTTTACATTAGTTATCTTTTGTTTGTTTTTATCTCGACAAATGGTAATAATTTCACTTTATGATATGGTTAATATCTTGTCCTTGCATCTCTAAAATTCTCTGACTATATTCCAGTGAAGGATATGGTAGGCTTTGATCTACCTACAGCACCTACACACATATTATTATTATTATTACAAATACAAAGTTGCCAATGTTTTTGCAATTGATACAAACAAGAGACGTATAAAAAGATGCTTCAAATGAAACCAAGCCATGGCAAAAAAAAATTGAATTACAGGAAATGAGCTAATGCCATGCTCTTATGAACTGAGCCACGTACAGGATCACTACAATACATAAGTACAATATTGTAGTGCTGGCCACCCAGTCACGTATGCTCACGCACAACATCACGACAATACATTACTGTAAAATACAATACACGATTACAATACAGGTGGAAGATGTATGATTTTTTATTTATTGTTATATTAGGATCCCCATTAGCCGACGCCAATGACGACAGCTAGTCTTACTGGGGTCCGACAAATAAACAAAAATACATTACAGACAAAATACTTTACAATTTATTGCCATCCCCATGAGCGTACCACCCTCCTTCAGGCCATGGATGAAGCATACAATGATTTCAATCCAGACCTATGTCAGGCTTAGATTTGCCATGCCAAAAGGTTTTTCCCCAGGTGTATGAGGATATTTATGAGGATATTTACAGTGAGAACCTATGGCCAAATGATCAAGGCAGGCTTGATGCAGATTAGTGCTGCTAATCATTCTGTTTCTTTCATGTGTTTATATTGTGAAAGATTTCATTTACATTATTTAGCAGACGCTCTTATCCAGAGCGACTTACAGTTAGTGAGTGCAGTTTTTCATACTGGCCCTCTGTGGGAAACGAACCCACAACCCTGGCGTTGCAAACGCCATGCTCTACCAACTGAGCTACATTCCTGCCGGCCAATCCCTCCCCTATCCTGGGCCAATTGTGCGCCGCCCCATGGATCTCCCTGTCGCGGCCGGCTACGACAGAGCCTGGATTTGAACCAGGATCTCTAGTGGCACAGCTAGCACTGCGATGCAGTGCCTTAGACCACTGCGCCACTCGGGAGGCGCAGTGGACAAAGATGTCTTCAATGATCACACCTTTGATCACACATTGGATAGAAATAATGGAAATGTGATGTTTAGTCAATTTTAATGGGTAATTTAATGGGTAATGCAAGTGAAATACCTAATGTGAAAAGAAAAAAAATTACAGTACTGTAGCATACTACATTCAAAGGGCAATCTTAAATCACATATCTTAAATCTTTTGCTGTTGGATTAACTGGTTGTTAAAATAACTACCGTTTTTTTTTTTTTTTTTTTGCTTTGGTACTATGTTCACAAGTATGTGTTGAATTTTCTAAACTCCAAACTGGTAACACTTGTAACACAGCCAGTCTTACATTCAAAACCTTTCATTGTGCATTCATTTTGTTGTAGACATCTTTCACCAAATGTAAGTTTAATGTGAAATATAATGAGTACATTGGTTTAATCACCAAAACACAATATCTTCTCAATGTACAGTTTTCATTTTGGATACATGTTTACTGTATATGGGATGCATTTCTTTCTTGTTTTGGACTTTCTGGATTGTTTGCGTATTGGTATTGTATTGTATTGATATTGTATTACTGCACTGTAGGAGCTAGAAACACAAGCATTTCACTGTACCTGCTGTAACATCAACTAATCTGTGTACGCAACCAATAAACTTGAATTTGATTGTTACATACAGTACATCTCTGACCTTGTCAATATCAGATTTTTTTTCAATTTACTGTGAATTAAAATCATTATAGTCATCACCATAGCAATACTTTCGAGTATACAGTATATCATACTTTTTATGTTTCTACTTTACAGATGTACATTTTCATTATGTAGTTCTCAAAATCTTTAGTAGACAAACCAGTTGTCACGCCCTGGCTCTAGGGACTCTTTTAAGTTGAGCCAGGGTGTGTAGAGTTTATGTTTTGTGCTCGTTGTGTCTAGTCTAGTTTTGTATATCTATGTTGGCCAGAGTGGTTCTCAATCAGAGGCAACGAGTATCAGCTGTTGCTGGTTGTCTCTGATTGGGAACCATATTTAGTCAGGTGGTTTTCCCACAGTGTTTGTGGGATCTTGTTCCGTGTTTTGCACCTGTGGACGTCACGTATCGAAAAACATTTTAGGGGGGGGCACATGGCACATGGCACATGGCACATGGCACATGGCACATGGCACATGGCACATGGCACATGGCACATGGCAGGGACGACGGGGACGACGGGGCCACTGGAGGCAGATAAGGGGCGAGTTGGTGGACGAGGAGAGAAGGCCACTGGGTTACGGGAGCCATTGGTGTATAGAGGGAAGGAAAATGTAGAGGCACGGCGAGAGGTACTGAAGTGTGTTGCCAGTCCGGTCCGGCCCGTTCCTGATCCCCGTGTAAGGCCAGTGGTGTGTGTTCCCAGTACGGTCCGGCCTGTTCCTGTCCATCTCGCCAAGCCTATGATGCGCGTCGCCAGCCCGGCCTGTTTCTGCCCCTCGCACCAAGCCTATGGTGCGCGTCGCCAGCCCGGCCCGGCCTGTTCCTGCTCCCCGCACCAAGCTAGTGGTGTGCGTCGCCAGCCCGGCCCGGCCTGTTCCTGCTCCCCGCACCAAGCCAATGGTGCGCGTCGCCAGCCTGGTCCGGCCTGTTCCTGCTCCCCGCACCAAACCTGTGGTGCGCATCGCCAGCCCGTGCCCGTTTCACCGGTGCCTGGTCAGGTACCGGTCAGCTGCTCCACACCGGAGCCTGAGCAATCTGCTCCACCGAAGTCCAGTCCAGCTCCAGCCAGTGGGGCTAGACCAGACCAGGGGCACTACGGGGGGGTTAGTAGAGGGTGGTGGTCAAGCCCGGAGCCGGAACCGCCTCCGAGGAGGAATGCCCACCCAGCCCTCCCCTGGTCGGTGATGTTTAGGCGCGGTCGCAGTCCGCGCCTTTAGGGGGGGGTACTGTAACGCCCTGGCTCTAGGGACTCTTTTGAGTTGAGCCAGGGTGTGTAGAGATTATGTTTTGTGCTCGTTGTGTCTAGTCTAGTTTTGTATATCTATGTTGGCCAGAGTGGTTCTTAATCAGAGGCAACGAGTATCAGCTGTTGCTGGTTGTCTCTGATTGGGAACTATATTTAGTCAGGTGGTTTTCCCACAGTGTTTGTGGGATCTTGTTCCGTGTTGGTTTGTGGTTTGCACCTGTGGACGTCACGTATCGATTTGTTGTTTTGTTCGTGTATCATTTAATAAATAAGTATGTTCACCTTCCACGCTGCGCCTTGGTCCTCTATATCCGACGATCGTGACACCAGTTTACATGTAAAATCTATAGGTTTACCAAACGTTTAAGTGATCATCAATGAAGAGCAGTCGGATTAAGTAATAGTACTTGTAACAATTAAGTAAATGTATTTTAACAAAAGAGAAGAGAATCATATCAAAAGTAATGTGAGCATTGCATTGTGGAAGGCAATTACTTTATATGAACATGTACTGCAATGTGAAACATGTATTTCTAGATGAAACACTGATTAAGTTTGGTGAAAAAGCGAATGTATGATTTTGTTTGTTATACTTAATCAATTGAAAAATGTGCTTAGAGTTTTGAAACAGCTGCTTTTTGATTATCTGTTTTAAGTTTTGTACTAACAGTTGTGAAAATGTACAACATATTTGTGAAAATTGCGCCAAAGCGATAAAAATTGAGAAGATGTAATTATGTTCTGTTTTGGTGATTAAAACAATGTGTGGTGAAAGATGTCTACAAACAAAATGAATGCACAAAAAAAACGAATACACTGAGTCAAGCCATCTCAACCTAATCTGTCATCTGTGGTCTATGAACCTCTCAGCTTCCCCTGTCTAACCACCATTCATGTGTCTCTCTCCTGCTGTGTGTGTGTGTGAGTGTTTCAGTGGATGAGACACTGGTGAGACTGGTGAATGGATCAGGCCCTCACGAGGGGAGAGTGGAGGTGTTCCACGAGAGGCGCTGGGGAACAGTGTGTGACGACGTCTGGGACAAGAAGGACGGCGACGTGGTCTGCAGGATGCTTGGCTACACAGGAGCCTTCGAGATCCATAAAACAGGCCGGTTTGGACAAGGTAACCCAGCTAGCACTTTTGGTTCCTTGGAAGTTGTGGGAATGTAAGTTTTTGGTTTCCCATTAGTTCTGGGAACAAAGCAATAAGTTTCCTGAATGGTAAAACTGAAGGTTTTTAAACGTTCTGAGAACAGAAGTGAACATTTTGCCTGTTCCTGGAACGTTAATTTTTAGGTTGCAGGGAGGTTCTGAGAACATTTTACTATGGTTCCATGAAAGTTTTCCTCTGAGGTTTTATTAACGTTCTGCGATAGTAAATTATAGGTTATATTGAGGTTTTTTAATAACTTCCTTAAAACTTTCACTGAATGTTTCAATAAGACTTTTAATAACACTGCTAGATAGTTTGGGTTAACTGTTTTGAACTCCAAGCACAGATAGCACACATGGAAATTAATTTGCTTAGGCATTAATTAATCATGCAAACACATTTCTTTTTTATTGTGGCCCGGCATCAGTGAGATTCAAACCTATGATCTTCTGTTCGCTAACATGGATTGTAACCAAAATAATTTTCCCATACGTTCATTCACAGACCATTAGTCTTTTTGTTGCGTTCACGGTTCGACCTGCAAAATAAATCAGAACGGACTGGTTTGGTGTGTTACAGTGGGGACCATGAATAGGATTCAGTTGGTGATTGGGGCACCAAGTGAACTTTGAAGCTCTCAAAGGACACTACGGGTAGCCCCGGGTCGAAGAATGGTGATGCGGCGCTGCTCAGTCCTCTTTTTTTTCCTGGTTAGTTCAACAATCAATCCTGTGTCTTGGGTCCCTTGCATGTTTGATCTGATGCAGGACTGATGAAATCTCTTTTTTAGTTCTGAGGGGAATGGTGTCATTACGCTCGGGTTTAAATACGTTCACCCAATCAGTGCCGATAGAGCAGCTCTGCTATGGGGAGCGGAGCAAGCTAAAGCTTGCTATGGACGGCAGCTATAGAACGTAACAATGTTATTAACTGGTTACCATGCTTTTAAAATAATGGTTCTGTTCTGGAACAGTAGAGATCACTTTCGTTTCCATTTCTGATTCTGTTCCTCCAATTTGTTTTAGTTTTTTCGGGTAATCGGTTCTGTTCCCAGAAACGATTCCAACCCCTGGCTAGCATGCCATGTTTTATTTACTCATACAAAGCTATTCATTTTAGTCTATTCAAACAGACCCCATTTCAAAGGAAACAAGCTCTCATTCAGATCAGGGTAATTTAGTGGACCTGAACACACTTAACAAGATAGAGGATAGAGAGAGTTTTGTTGACACTGAGAACGGAGTGTATATGTTTTTAAATAACATTCTTAGAACGTTCTTTGAACGTTACTAATGTTATCTTGTGGTTTTTACATTTTACAGAAAGGTTTTTTAATGTTCTGAGAACATGACTTTAAATAGAACCATGAGGAAACCTGGTGGAAATGTTATGTTGAAGTATTGAAATTCCCACAGGAAAACGTTGTTTCTTAATGTTCTCTGAACTATTTGAGAACATTCCCAATGTCAAGCCAGTTGGAGAACGTTCCTAGAACGTTGCCAAAAATGTAATCAAATGTAAACATGTTTGAACTTTTAGGAAACGTTCTGTTAAAGTAATGAAATACCAAGAAAATAACGTTATTTTGTCAAGTTCCTTAAATGTGCTGAGAATGTTCCAAAGCCAAGCAACTATCCTGCACAATTCCCAGAAAGTTCTGGGAAGGTTGTATGCAAAATAACCATAGGACAACCACACTCTCACCAAGCTCTAAGAAACATATGGTTCTCAGAACGTTATGTGCTAGCTGGGAAGCCACTTTTCAGTTTATCTCCATCTAGTTATAATAATATAATAATAATATGCCATTTAGCAGACGCTTTTATCCAAAGCGACTTACAGTCATGCGTGCATAAATGTTTTTGTGTATGGGTGGTCCCGGGGATCGGAACCCACTACCTTTGGCGTTATAAGCGCCGTGCTCTACCAGCTGAGCTACAGAGGTACAGTACAGACGCTGTGATAAACTTGTTTCGTGGAGGTAGATTATGATTTTTACCATTTGTTTTTGTAGTATTAGAATACTACTGAGATTCATATAAGTTTATATGGAAAATCATAGGAGCCAGATACCATCAAAAGAGTCCCAGTGGTAATATCCATCTGTTTCCTCTATGACCTTATTTCAACAACCATCATTACATCACACACACACACACACACACACACACACACACACACACCTCTGTTAGGTCCAATCGACATATTATGGTGTATTAATATTATTTATTTATGGGAAAACTAATTCCAAGAGCCATGCTTTAAAATGAATTATAATTCACATTGGCTTTATGTTATTTGAGGACGAATGAAACAATTGTAAATGTGTCTTTCATAGACCCTATTTGTGAAGCTACATTTAGTAAAATCTTTCCAGTTTCTTTACTCTTGACAAATATATTTGATGTGATGTATCAATAATTAAGTTAGAGACGACATTGTACATCACTGCATGGTCAGTCCAATAAATAATTCTGAAAATAAGTGTTAAGAGCTGGGATAAACCAGTTTAGGAGGCATGTCTTGTTAAAATAAACCCAGCAGTGTTGTGTCAGCCTCTGAACATCTGTGCTGAGTGTACACTATACTGGCCCTGGCAAAGTTTCCTTTTCAAGTTTGCTTCATGTTCATGCTGCACTCAAGATGTTTCAGTTATTCAATGTAATGTAGTTGGTTGTGCTTGGACTCTTCTCTTATGGTGCTAAATGTGGTAGAAAGACCTTTGAGCAGAACTCTGATCACACAGACTGTGTTCGCCAACATTCGAAGGGAAAATATTGCTCACACTTAAAGTTCAAAATGTTTCTGTGAACAAACGGATAGAATAGGCCTACGTGGTTGTGGTCCCTTCTCGACAATACAGTTGGACATAAAGTATATGGAAAACAATATGGTATGATATTTACTTTCACATCCTGTTCTTAAACATGAAAGGGACTCATTTGAGCATTAGTGATATTACTTCTTTGGAGGCATCTCTCCCTTTACTCTACTATCTCTTCTTTTACTCTACTCCTATCTCTCCCTTTACTCTACTCCTATCTCTCTCTTTACTCTACTCCTATCTATCCCTTTACTCTACTCCTATCTCTCCCTCTACTCCTATCTCTCTCTTTACTCTACTCCTATCTATCCCTTACTCTAACTCCTATCTTAATCCATTTACTCACCCTATCTCTCCCTTTACTCTACTCATATCTCTCTCTTTACTCTACTCCTATCTCTCCCTCTACTCCTATCTCTCTCTTTAATTGCTGAAATTGAGACATTACTACCTAACTACACACAGAATTCTCATTACAGACCTCTATTTATATACGTTATATCAGACCAGCCCTGACGTTAAACGGTTTGATGGTCTAGTCTGCTAGCTCCAACCAGAGCAGGATATATTGATATTATGTTGGCCTCTAATGATCTTTCATCAAATCTGTCTATTAATCCCCTCACCAGTACCCAGCCTCTGATTGGTCTATGGGAGGAGGCCCACACGCATGTCTGTAAACTCTCATCATAGAGTAAAAAAAGTTAATGTCTGATTCAGGTTTATAAAACCATATTGTGCTTTTTGTGCTTGTTATTTTGCCAGCATTCAAATATAACCCTGAAGAAATCTGATTCAAATGTGGAATAAGACAGACGTGCTTATGCTAATGGTAACTTTGTGGGAACCTTTGAGGAGACAGAGACATTCATATGACATATTGCATCTTAAAAACATATACAGTGGGGAAAAAAAGTATTTAGTCAGCCACCAATTGTGCAAGTTCTCCCACTTAAAAAGATGAGAGAGGCCTGTAATTTTCATCATAGGTACACGTCAACTATGACAGACAAATTGAGGAAAAAAAATCCAGAAAATCCCATTGTAGGATTTTTAATGAATTTATTTGCAAATTATGGTGGAAAATAAGTATTTGGTCACCTACAAACAAGCAAGATTTCTGGCTCTCACAGACCTGTAACTTCTTCTTTAAGAGGCTCCTCTGTCCTCCACTCGCTACCTGTATTAATGGCACCTGTTTGAACTTGTTATCAGTATAAAAGACACCTGTCCACAACCTCAAACAGTCACACTCCAAACTTCACAATGGCCAAGACCAAAGAGCTGTCAAAGGACACCAAAAACAAAATTGTAGACCTGCACCAGGCTGGGAAGACTGAATCTGCAATAGGTAAGCAGCTTGGTTTGAAGAAATCAACTGTGGGAGCAATTATTAGGAAATGGAAGACATACAAGACCACTGATAATCTCCCTCGATCTGGGGCTCCACGCAAGATCTCACCCCGTGGGGTCAAAATGATCACAAGAACGGTGAGCAAAAATCCCAGAACCACACGGGGGGACCTAGTGAATGACCTGCAGAGAGCTGGGACCAAAGTAACAAAGCCAACCATCAGTAACACACTACGCCGCCAGGGACTCAAATCCTGCAGTGCGAGACGTGTCCCCCTGCTTAAGCCAGTACATGTCCAGGCCCGTCTGAAGTGCATTTGGATGATCCAGAAGAGGATTGGGAGAATGTCATATGGTCAGATGAAACCAAAATATAACTTTTTGGTAAAAACTCAACTCGTCATGTTTGGAGGACAAAGAATGCTGAGTTGCATCCAAAGAACACCATACCTACTGTGAAGCATGGGGTTGGAAACATCATGCTTTGGGGCTGTTTTTCTGCAAAGGGACCAGGACGACTGATCCGTGTAAAGGAAAGAATGAATGGGGCCATGTATTGTGAGATTTTGAGTGAAACCCTCCTTCCATCAGCAAGGGCATTGAAGATGAAACGTGGCTGGGTCTTTCAGCATGACAATGATCCCAAACACACCGCCCGGGCAACGAAGGAGTGGCTTCGTAAGAAGCATTTCAAGGTCCTGGAGTGGCCTAGCCAGTCTCCAGATCTCAACCCCATAGAAAATCTTTGGAGGGAGTTGAAAGTCTGTGTTGCCCAGCGACAGCCCCAAAACATCACTGCTCTAGAGGAGATCTGCATGGAGGAATGGGCCAAAATACCAGCAACAGTGTGTGAAAACCTTGTGAAGACTTACAGAAAACGTTTGACCTGTGTCATTGCCAACAAAGGGTATATAACAAAGTATTGAGAAACTTTTGTTATTGACCAAATACTTATTTTCCACCATCATATGCCAATAAATTCATTAAAAATCCTACAATGTGATTTTCTGGATTTTTTTTTCTCATTTTGTCTGTCATAGTTGACGTGTACCTATGATGAAAATTACAGGCCTCTCTCATCTTTTTAAGTGGGAGAACTTGCACAATTGGTGGCTGACTAAATACTTTTTTTCCCCACTGTATTATGTGGATATGTTTGATATACTGTATATATAGTGTATCTGTGTGGTTTTCCTGCATGTATATTAGCCCTTGTTATAAATAAAACCAAGTTGGGTTATGTTAGGCATATATTTACATTTACATTTAAGTCATTTAGCAGACGACTTACAAATTGGTGCATTCAACTTAGGATAGCCAGTGGGACAACCACATCTTGATCACAGTAAGTACACTTCTTCAAACAAGCAGCTGTGAGCAAAGTCAGTGCATATTCAGTGTCCCAGGTGTGTGGGTGACTTGATCAGGGTTATTGATCAGACTGAAACGTGAATGGATTAAGTTAATAACCTTTAACTGCAGTGGGGTAAATCAGGGTCACACAGTGTGTTTCTTGGTAGTCTTAAACAAAACTGCTTTGAAACAAAAGTATACACCTCACACACATGGCTATGGGCTTTTAAAAAAGAAGACACTTGTACCATGTCAGATATAGAGTTGAAATGTATTCCATTTTGAGTTTGCATCCCAATATTAAACTTTATATACATCACAGAAGACTGAAATATAACAAAACTGTCTGACATAGAAACACAGGATTTTCAGTGTTTTTTAACATTTAAATAATGTTTATTAATTATGAAAAATATGAATATCATTCCACCCATGAGGCCACTAGGTCATTTGACTACAGGAAAGGGGTTGCTACTACAGGTCTGTCTGTGGCCTGGGGTGCTGTAGCAGTTGAAGCTGTTACCTCCAGAACACATGTATGTAGCCATGCTAGCATGGGTTCCAATCAGACCCACTGCTCTTCTGGCAAACTCTCTCCCTCCATCTTTCCTGTTTTACTCACTACCCTATCCAGTAACATTCTCACTGGGTTATTTTAGGTTATTTACAAAACATGTACAAATATGAAAGGAGTGGGAAATTAATTATCACAGAGAGAATAGATTAATTATTACATGAGTGAAGATTCTATGTATTTTATTTATGTTAGTGAACTTCTCAAACCTGCTTATTTGGCAAGTAATGTAATTTAGATCCCAAAAAGAGCACAGTGGTAGAACAATAGACAGAGTGTAATACCATCCGGTCCTTAAGCACCCAAATGCATTCCCATCAGATTTACATACCGATTGATGACGTGACCTTTTTTCTCAAAGCGCATGAACTCATCATGAACAATGGAATTCCTAAGGTGTATTCATATGTTGGACATTCATTTTGCACATCATTCTTCAGACAGCAATAATTCATTAAGCCATCCCGGAGATCTTGACTGGGTCTTGAAATAATTTTCATTTAGACCAAGAAGCAGGCACTGGGGGGTGGTGTCTTATGTGTTTGTCAGCCTCCCAGCTCTGTCTTCAATGTAATTGATACCACAATAAACCCTGTTTCAGACTGAGGTTCCATGCCAGAGGTCCCCTCTCGTGGTGCTTGGCTACCCTACCTGGTGCCTGTGGACAGGGGAGAGGAGAGACTTGCTCCAGTCTCCAGAACCTCTGTGTTTGTGGAGACACGGTGTGCTCTCATCCCTCTGCCAGATATCTGCCGCACATTAACACTTCCAAGGGCTCTCAGAGGAGACTGGTGTGATGAATAACTCTGCAGACTGAGGGGCTAGGAGAGCTAGGAGAGGAGCCTGAGTATGACCAGACCAGACTCTGCTATCACACTCGCTTCACTTCAGATAACGGCTGTCATTTGAGAGGAAAAACAATAGAACATCAGAGCCTGATACTTGGCTGCCCCCATGCAACTCCCTCCCTCTATATACCTCCTTTATCATCTCAGTTGAAAACCATATGTTTCTGTAAGTACTAAGTACTGGAGTGATGTGCACTGTCAGGTAAATCTTGAAGAAAGTGTTTATGCTCTCTCTCGCTCTCTCTCTCTATTTCGCTCACTCTCTCTCTCTCACTATCTCTCTCTTTTCTCTCTCTTCTCTTTCTCCTCTCTCTCTCTCTCATTAGTATACAAATATATCTCCCTGTCTATTTCTACAGGTACTGGGCTCATCTGGATGGATGATGTGGCCTGTGTTGGGAATGAAGACACCATCCACCAGTGCAAGTTCTCAGGCTGGGGCAAGACCAACTGTGGGCATGTGGAGGACGCGGGGGTGACATGCAACACCTAACACCCACCATTTTAACTCCCACCGAGTTCAGTTTGAAACTGCAGAGTTAAATTGCAGATGAAAGGCAGTGTGAGGTAGAGTAGAGGGGCTGTGTCCTGCTGTCCTACACACACTCACCGCTGTGGGCAACTGATTTGACAGTTATGTGCAAACATGCTTTGACTTCAGACCCCTTTATGGCCTCTTGGCTGACTATTGTCCACGTAAAGTATGTTTAACAATAGCTGGTACTTCTTAGCTGAACTAGATGCAGTGCCTATAAAGGACCAACTTCAAAAATTGTCAGTCACAAATGTTTGTCCAATTGTTGATGGGTGAAGCGATTACAAAGAAAAGAAAGGGAACTAATGCCATTTGAAATAGATGTATGGCTCGGCCCCAGTACGATTGATTGGTTTGATTTGACAATTTCTGCCTGTGGAGCCAGCATTGTTTTTTATCATCATGAATGAGAGTCTCTCTCTCTCTATCTCGCTCTCTTTCATGATTCTCCCTTCAACTGGCTAATTTTGATTATGTTAGAGCGCAGCCAAAAATGCCACTATCTTCATCGTCAATTGCAGGGGCGGTTTGGAGACTAATGTTTGTTTTATGTATGGAAACCAGGACTAATTACAGTAAGACAAATTACAGCCTAAGATTTATTTTTATATTTTATTAAATAGTAAAACATGCACAATGAATTGAGGTTTATCACAGGAAAAGAAACAAGAAAGATGGATTATTGTGTGAAATAAACTAAAATAACCGCTGATGTAATACACTTTCAAATGTAAATCAAGTGTTGCCATGATATGATGGCTGTAAGAAAGTCTGAGCATGATATCTTTTATCATAGATTTCTGTAGATGATCCTAGACAAATATTGCTTTAGGATAAGCAAAGATATGTGCTGAGATCCCGAGGACTAGGTTTGATACAGTCTGAGACACATGAATCTGGACTGTCTCTCAGTATTTCATTTGGAGCATTGAAGCAGCTCCCCTTTAGACATGGTCCTCAATTTCTTCCACTGAGGTTCATGCTCAGACAAGTGCTATAGAGGTGTAATAAGAGTGCTATAGAGTAGTGGAGGTTGGTGAGAGGAGCTATAGGAGGATGGGCCCATTGTAATGGTTGGAATGGAATAAATGGAACGGTATCAAAGACATCAAACATATGGAAACCACATTTCTGACTCCATTCCTTAATTCCATTCCAGCCATTACAATGAGCCCATCGCTCCTCCCACCAGCCTCCAGTGCTATAGAGTGCTATAGAGTTTACTGTTTGGAATACCTGAGCCGACAAGGTGAAAAATCTGTAGATGTGCCCTTGAGCAAGGCTCTTGACCCTAATTTGCTCCAGGGGTGCCATACTACTATGGCTGTCCCTGTAAAACAACACATTTCATTGCACCTACAGTGAGGGAAAAAAGTATTTGATCCCCTGCTGAATTTGTACGTTTGCCCACTGACAAAGAAATGATCAGTCTATAATTTTAATGGTAGGTTTATTTGAACAGTGAGAGACAGAATAACAACAAAAAAATCCAGAAAAACGCTTGTCAAAAATGTTATTAATTGATTTGCATTTTAATGAGGGAAATAGGTATTTGACCCCCTCTCAATCAGAAAGATTTCTGGCTCCCAGGTGTCTTTTATACAGGTAACAAGAGCTCTCCAAGGATGTCAAGGACAAGATTGTAGACCTACACAAGGCTGGAATGGGCTACAAGACCATTGCCAAGCAGCTTGGTGAGAAGGTGACAACAGTTGGTGCGATTATTCGCAAATGGAAGAAACACAAAAGGACTGTCAATCTCTCTCGGCCTGGGGCTCCATGCAAGATCTCACCTCATGGAGTTGCAATGATCATGAGAACGGTGAGGAATCAGCCCAGAACTACACGGGAGGATCTTGTCAATGATCTCAAGGCAGCTGAGACCATAGTCACCAAGAAAACAATTGGTAACACACTACGCCGTGAAGGACTGAAATCCTGCAGAGCCCGCAAGGTCCCCCTGCTCAAGAAAGCACATATACAGGCCCGTCTGAAGTTTGCCAATACACATCTGAATGATTCAGAGGAGAACTGGGTGAAAGTGTTGTGGTCAGATGAGACCAAAATCGAGCTTTTTGGCATCAACTCAACTCGCCGTGTTTGGAGGAGGAGGAATGCTGCCTATGACCCCAAGAACACCATCCCCACCATCAAACATGGAGGTGGAAACATTATGCTTTGGTGGTGTTTTTCTGCTAAGGGGACAGGACAACTTCATCGCATCAAAGGGATGATGGACGGGGACATGTATCGTCAAATCTTGGGTGAGAACCTCCTTCCCTCAGCCAGGGCATTGAAAATGGGTCGTGGATGGGTATTCCAGCATGACAATGACCCAAAACACACGGCTAAGGCAACAAAGGAGTGGCTCAAGAAGAAGCACATTAAGGTCCTGGGGTGGCCTAGCCAGTCTCCAGACCTTAATCCCATAGAAAATCTGTGGAGGGAGCTGAAGGTTTGAGTTGCCAAACGTCAGGCTCGAAACCTTAATGACTTGGAGAAGATCTGCAAAGAGGAGTGGGACAAAATCCCTCCTGAGATGTGTGCAAACCCGATGGCCAACTACAAGAAACGTCTGACCTCTGTGATTGCCAACAAGGGTTTTGCCACCAAGTATTAGTCATGTTTTGCAAAGGGGTCAAATACTTATTTCCCTCATTAAAATGCAAATCAATTTATAAAATTTTTGACATGCGTTTTTCTGGATTTTGTTGTTGTTATTCTGTCTCTCACTGTTCAAATAAACCTACCATTAAAATTATAGACTGATCATGTCTTGGGCAAACGTACAAAATCAGCAGGGGATCAAATACTTTTTTCCCTCACTGTATCTGGTGTATGTGACAATATAACATATTTCCCCCCCTTTTTTTTAAGCTAACAGTCAAAGATAACACCTTACCCTTTTTGTATATTTTCACTCAGATTGATCATGCTTCCCTCTTGGGAAAGGTCCTTAAACAGAAAAGAACTAGAAAAATATTTTTTATTGGAATTCTTCCTAATTATTTTCATAGAAATAAATTATTCTGGTTTTGTAGAAATACGTATTCCTACTGTATGTGATCATTACTATTATAATCCACTCTCAAATATTCAACTAGGGTGCAGTTAGTCTGTGAACATAACAGAGGTAATTTTTGCATGGATCTTCAACTGTTCTGTAAATTCATCACTGTCATGCAATGCTTTTTCATGTACAGGGGAGCAGCCTGCACAGGGACCACAAACCCAGGTTCCCACTTTAAGAACATACTATCAAATACCAGGATGTTATGATTGCTACAGTATGTGAAGTCGAGATTGGTTGATGTGTTATACCATGGTACCCCTGTAACCCTAACCACCACTTTTATTGGACAAGATTTAATAAGGACTTTTGAGGAGTGTAAATATCTGTTTATCAATTGTGCTGGTCATAACACCCAGCCCACATCAAAAAATACTACAGTTTACTATAGAATACTACAGCACTTATTATACAATTCTGTAGTAAACTGTAATACTGTAGAATACTATACTACACACTGTAGTATCCCTCAATCATGTGTGGTAGTACTTACTAGAGAATGTTGTAGTATACTGTAGAATCCTATAGTAAATACTACAGTATTATCCGCAAAGAAAACACTGTAGTAATTACTAGAGTAATGTCCGCTAAAAACACTATAGTAAATACTACAATAATTAATTAGCATATACCCTTCCCATTCCCCTCGGTCGTCACTAGTTACCACATCCACAAAGTCTTAAGCCCCTCCTATTTCTACAATTTCTCTTCTTAAAATGTGATTTTAAACCTAACACTAACTTTAACCCTAACCTTAAACACTAACCTTAAATTTAGACGAAAAAGCTCATTTTTGTTTTCATGAATATCCCAATTTGTGCCACCCATAAGTGATAAACCTACATGCCAAGTATAGACCATATATTGTGTTACTTACAGATTATAGAAAAGAGCAGAAGTGCTGAATTATGTGTTCAGACCTCAGTCCTACCTACCTACCTACCTACCTACCTACCTACCTACCTACCTACATACATACTGGTTATGGAAAATGTGCTATTTTTAGTACTGCTCCAGTAGCCTCCACTTCTATGTCAAAGATAATAAAACAGAAACACTATAGTAAATACTACAGTAATGTCTGCAAAAACACTACAGTAAATACTACAGTCTGCAAAACACTACAGTAAATACTACAGTATACAACAATCTTCAAAAACATTACATTAAATACCATAGTAGTATATACTACAGTTATATTTTACTACAGTATTTATACTATAGTTAACTGTAAATAAACAGTATACTACAGTAAATACTACAGTAAAGTATGCAAAACACTACATTAAATACTATAGTATTTATACCATAGTATAGTATAGTATTTTTTCATGTAATATGAAATATTTAAATAAATACAGTGAATATGTGACAATAATATTTGATATGTCAATTAGATAATACTTTTAACTTGATATTTCTTGCTGATAAAAAATTAAAGAAATCATGTACTGTTGAAATAATAAAATGGTATTCATTTGTTTATGTGGACTTGATACATTTTTTTATTAAAATGACGAAGTTAGAGGCAGTTCAGTAGAAAGCTAAGTAATCCTATCCCATACTATAGCGTGTAGCTACATCAAGAGAACAGGTGAAGATGGAGAGAGGAAGTTGGGTATGCCATCTCTGGATTGACAACTGAGAAACAATTACCATAAAAGTGGTTTCACATGGAGGACGGATATAGAAATGACTGCTGGAGAATCACCTGATCACCTCAGCATATGGTGAGCCTAGGGCAGGGGTAGGAAACTGTGTTCCTGGAGTGCTGCCTGTACTGCAGGATTTTGTTCCAACTAGGCACCACACCTGATCAACTGAGGTAATTGATCAGTTCAGTGATTGCCTAAATTCAACACACCTGGTCTTCCAGGTCGGTTAAATA